GAGTGCAATGGCACTATCTCAGCTCACTGCAACCTCTGCCTCCTGAACTCAAGCAATTCTCCTGCTTCAGTGTCCCGAGTAGCTGGGATTACAGGCACCCGTCACCATGCCCAGTTAATTTTTGTCCTTTTAGTAGAGACGGGGTTTCACCATGTTGGCCAGGCTGGTCTTGAACTCCTGAACTCAGTGGATCCACCTGTCTCAGCCTCCCAAAGTGCTGGGATTGCAGGCATGAGGCACCGTGCCTAGCCTACTTGTTCTCTTAAAAAAAAAAAAAAGTCATTATGAGGCTGGATGTGGTGGCTCATGCCCATAATCCTAGCACTTTGGGAGACCAAGGCCAGAGATTGCTTGAGGCCAGGAGTTTGGGATCAGCCTGGGCAACATAGTGAGACACCATCTCTACAAAAAAATTAATTAGTTGGGCGTGGTGGTGTGTGTCTATAATCCTAGCTACTCAGAAGACTGGGGCAGGAGGATTGCTCAAGCCCACAAGTTTGGGGTCGCAGTGAGTTATGATCATGCCATTGCACACCAGTATAGGTAACAGAGCGAGACACTGTCTCCTTAAAAAAAAAATCGTTATGACATAAGGCCAAAATAAAAATATCCTGTAGGATGTTGATACAGAGTGGATGAGTGGCAACTATAGTTTGTTTTCCCTCTACTTAGTATTCAGCTCTTTAGTCAAAATTGCTGAGATTTTCTTTTTCCAAGTGTTGTTTGAATTACACTGGTAGCATTTTTTACTGAGGAAAGACCTATAGAAGTTTTCATTACAGTAAGTAAATGTGTGAGTTTAAGTATAAAACTTTGAAAGAGGGGCCGGGCGCGGTGGCTCAAGCCTGTAATCCCAGCACTTTGGGAGGCCGAGGCGGGTGGATCACGAGGTCAAGAGATCGAGACCATCCTGGTCAACACGGTGAAACCCCGTCTCTACTAAAACTACAAAAAATCAGCTGGGCATGGTGGCGCATGCCTGTAATCCCAGCTACTCAGGAGACTGAGGCAGGAGAATTGCCTGAACCCAGGAGGCAGAGGTTGCGGTGAGCTGAGATCGCGCCATTGCACTCCAGCCTGGGTAACAAGAGCGAAACTCCATCTCAAAAAAAAAAAAAAAAAAAAAAAAAACTTTGAAAGAGGAAAAGAAACTAACATTTAGTGGGCAGGCCCTGGCAGTGTTCTAGGTACTTACACGTGTGCCATTCTCTTTCCTTTATCTTTCTTTTCTGACTCTCAGATATTTAATTTAGTCCACCTGACAATTCTGTGAAATACATATGTTATCTCCACTTTGCAGATGAGGAGACTGAGATGTAGAGATGCTGAAATACCTTGCCCATAGTTACACAGTGAACTCGGATTTGAACTCAAGTCCTTCTATGCACAGAGTCTACAACACCACCATGTAATCCTGGGAGGCCAGAGAGGATAGAATGGTATAAGTTAGCATAAGAACTTCTGCCAGCAAGGCCAGCTGCCAGAGATCTAATTCTAACTTTTACATGTTAGTTCCCAAATGTTAATGTATGACCTTAGCACCTTAGTTAATTTGCTTATCCTCTCTGCACCTTAGTTTCCTCATGTCTAAAGTGGAAATAATAATACCTCAAAAAGTTGTTGTGAGATGAAATTAGATTATATATTTTAAAAACACGGATGCTCACGCCGGGCATGGTGGCTCACACCTATAATTCCAGCACTTTGGGAGGCTGAGGGGGAAGGATCGCTTGAATCCAAGAGGCAGAGGTTGCAGTGAGCCGAGATCATGCCACTACACTCTAGCCTGGGCAACAGAGGGAGACTCCGTCTCAAAAAAAAAAAGAAAAAGGGAATTAATGTACCCCAAAAATCATTAAATATAAACAGAGGCAAATAGAATGTCATTTGATATACTAAAAAATACAAACCTATTTCTAATTCCCTCGGTCTTTTCATTCACCCTTTCATCTTTTATTTACTTATTTATTTTTTAGAGACAGGCTCTTGCTTTGTTACCCAGGCTAGAGTGCAGTGGCACAATCATAGCTCACTGTAACCTCAAACTCCTGGATTCAAGGGATCCTGCCACCTCAGTCTCCTCAGTAGCTGGGACTACAGGCACACACTACCACATCTAGCTGGATTGCGGTGGTGTGATCTCAACTCACTGCAACCTCTGCCTCCTGGGTTTAAGCCATTCTCCTTCCTCAGCCTGCTGAGTGGCTGGGAATACGGCTACTATGGTAGCCCACCACCATGCCCAGCTAATTTTTTTTTTTTTTTTTTTGAGATGGAGTTTTGCTCTTGTCACCCAGGATGGAATGCAATAGCACAATCCTGATTCGCTGCAACCTCTGCCTCCTGGGTCCCAGCGATTCTCTTGCCTCAGCCTCCCGAGTTCAGCTGAGATTATAGGCGCCCGCCACCAAGCCCGGCTAAATTTTGTATTTTTAGTAGAGACAGGGTTTCACCATGCTGGCCAGGCTGGTCTCAAAGGCCTGACCTCAGGTGATCCACCCACCTCAGCCTCCCAGAGTGCTGGGATTACAGGCATGAGCCCCTACACCCGGACAACTCTGCCTCTTAATGGGAGGATCTGCCTTGTCACATTGCAGGGTCATGAACGGAGGGAGAATATCTGTGCCCATTTTTACAATCTGCTGCACTGTCATATTTTCCTTCCTTGCAAGCTTTTCTGACTATAGACATGCTACCACATTCATTTTCCCTACACGCTGCCTGCATCATCTTACATCCTGGTTCACAAACCCCTAGAGGTGGCCTCTTTTCCTCCCTTGTGTGCTGTAAACTCTTAGCCCATCTTCAAAGGTCTCTTTAAGTTAGCCTGACCCAAAAGCAGAGGCTGTGCTATACAGTAAAAAAGGACTCGTATAGTCAGCGGAGGCTGCCAACAAATTTTACAACCTCTCCGGGCTTCTATTTCTCCTGTAAAATGAGAGGTTGGGCTAAATCTGTCAGGTTCTTTTCAAATTTATTATTTATTTATTTATTTAATTAATTAATTTATTTTTTTTGAGACAGAGTTTCGCTGTTGTTACCCAGGCTGGAGTGCAATGGCGCGATCTCGGCTCACCGCAACCTCCGCGTCCTGGGTTCAGGCAATTCTCCTGCCTCAGCCTCCTGAGTAGCTGGAATTACAGGCACGCACCACCATGCCCAGCTAATTTTTTGTAGTTTTAGTAGAGACAGGGTTTCACCATGTTGACCAGGATGGTCTCGATCTCTTGACCTCGTGATCCACCTGCCTCGGCCTCCCAAAGTGCTGGGATTATAGGCGTGAGCCACCACGCCCGGCCTATTTATTTATTTTTTATTATTTTTTTCAAGACGGAGTCTTGCTCTGTCACCCAGGCTGGAGCGCAGTAGCATGATCTCAGCTCACTGCAACCTCTGGCTCCCGGGTTCAAGTGATTCTCCTGCCTCAGGCTCCCAAGTAGCTGGGATTACAGGTGCCTGCTACCACACCTGGCTAATTTTTGCACTTTTCATAGAGACCGGGTTTCACCATGTTGGCCAGGTTGGTCTCAAACTCCTGACCTCATAATCCGCCCGCCTCAGCCTCCCAAAGTGCTGGGATTACAGGCGTGAGCCATTTTGCGCCCCACCTAATTTTTATGTTTTAATTTTACATTTTTGACATGAGGTCTTGCTATGCTGCCCAGGCTGGTCTTGAACTCCTGGACTCAAGTGATCCTCCCACCTCAGCCTCCCAAAGTGCTGGGATTACAGGTGTGAGTTACTGCACCAGGCCTCTCTTCAAATTTAAGATTGTGGTTGCGTGTGCCTACGAAGACCTATTACTCCCCAAATAAACCCTCAGCTGTAGTGAGACCACGCTTCTTATTTTGCCATAGAACATCTATTTACATTGGCCTTAGAGTGTTCATTTCCCGTGTTTGTCTTTTTTTTTTTTTTCTTTTTTAGAGACAGAATCTTGCTCTGTCACCTAGGCTGGACTGCAGTGGGGCTATCTCGGCTCACTGCAACCTCTGCCTCTCAGGTTCAATCAATTCTCTTGCCTCAGGCTCCTGAGTAGCTGGAATTACAAGTGTGCACCACCATGACGGGCTAATTTTTTGTATTTTTAGTAGAGATAGGGTCTCACCATGTTGGCCAGGTTGGTCTTGAACTCCTGACCTCAAGTGATCCACCTGCCTTGGCCTCCCAAAGTACTGGGATTACCAGCATAAGCCACAGCACCCAGTCTTTTTTTTTTTGAAACAGAGTGTTGCTGTGTCACCCAGGCTGGAGTACAGTAGTGCTATCTCAGCTCACTGCAACCTCTGCTTCCTGGGTTCAAGCAATTCTGCCTCAGCCTCCCAAGTAGCTAGGATTACAGGCTCCTGCCACCATGCCCAGCTAATTTTTGTATTTTTAGTAGAGACAGGGTCTCACCATGTTGGCCAGGCTGGTCTCAAACTCCTGACCTCAGGTGATCCACCCACCTCAGCCTCCCAAAGTGTTGGGATTACAGGCATGAGCCACTGCACCTGGCCCGTTCCCTGTGTTGTCTGATTCTGGAACTGCTCGTTACCTTCTCCACTGCTTGTCTGCGTGTTTTAAATTCTGCCCATCTCGTGTCTTTGTTAATCACTGTCATCCAAGTTGGCACTTAATTACATTATCTCTGGCATAATTCACTCTTTCAATTGTTAGTATTATTACCTAGATTATAAACTCATCAAGGGAAGATACTGTATTTTATACATCAACTGAGCATGTAGTAGGTATCAAGTAAATATCTGTAGATTAATCCTCCATTTCCATCCCAGGTCATAGGAAAAGAAACTGGCTGAAAACTTTTAAGATAAGCAGGAGGAGCTTGGGCAGAAGTGGGGATGATGGTGCTGGTGGTGGTTGGAGACGTGGGTATTTTGTTAAACACACCTAAGGGGGCCAACACGTACCAGACTTTAGACTGTATCTGCAACATTGCTTTGCCGAACTTTCCTCCAGCCATTCCATGACACTGGTTCTCCTTTGCTTATTTCCTACAGTTTTCATTCTTTTATCCTGTAAGCTGTCACCATGACCCTGACAAAAGGTTCCTTCACCTACTCCAGTGGGGAGGAGTATCGTGGCGAGTGGAAGGAGGGTGAGAAGGACCCCGGGGGAGTATCCAGTGATGAACACTTCACTTGCTGGAGGACAAATACATCAGGATATATAGCCAACTTTATGGATCTTCATTTCCAACTCCAGGATTTCATTCCATATAGCGCCTGCCTTTCCTTTATTCTATTTTAGGATTAAATAAAGGAATTAGAAAATGCTATTGTTTATTCAACCTCCAGGAATGAGTTATATCTTTCTTTTTTTATTTTTCCAAGATGGGGTCTCGCTCTGTCACCTAGGCTGGAGTACAGTGGCGCAGTCTCAGCTAACTGCAACCTCCACCTCCCAGGTTCAAGCGATTCTCGTGCTTCAGCCTCCCAAGTAGCTGGGATTACAGGAACCTGCCACCACATCCAGCTAAGTTTTGTATTTTCAGTAGAGAATGGGTTTCACCATGCTGGCCAGGCTGGTCTCAAACTCCTGACCTCAGGTGATTGCCTGCTTCAGCCTCCCAAAGTGCTGGGATTGCAGGCATGAGCCACAGTGCCCCGCCTGTGCCAGCCTCTCTTCTAAGCAGTTTGTGTTTATCATCTTATTTAATCCTCCTGACAACTTTATGAGGTAGGCACATACTATTATTATTCCCATTTAACAGATGGGAAAATTGAGCCAAGGAGAAGCTAACTTACTCAAGATCACAGAACTCTAAGTGGTAGAACAAGAAGGTAAACACAGCAGGCAGCCTGACTCAGTGCCCTCACATCTAACTACGTTGCCTCTCTCTATGTTGAGAAAAAAAAAATAGAAAAAACAGTACCCCATTAGCACCTTAAAGCTACTAGGCAAATCTAACAGCCTGATTAGCAGCACTGGTTTGAGCTTTTTTTTTTTTTTTGAGACGGAGTTTCACTCATGTTACCCAGGCTGGAGTGCAATGGCGCAATCTTGGCTCACCGCAACCTCCACCTCCTGGGTTCAAGCAATTGTCCTGCCTCAGCCTCCTGAGTAGCTGGGATTACAGGCACGCGCCACCATGCCCAGCTAATGTTTTGTATTTTTAGTAGAGACGGGGTTTCACCATGTTGACCAGGATGGTCTCGATCTCTTGACCTCGTGATCCACCCACCTCGGCCTCCCAAAGTGCTGGGATTACAGGCTTGCGCCACTGCGCCCGGCCTGGTTTGAACTTTATTACATCAATAAGGCTGTGTTTACTCTGAACTGACCAGAAAACAGAGCAAGATGTTGGGGGATTAATCATGCCTTTCAAACAGAATTCAAGGGAGTTCTTGTGGTGGATACAGCCCACCCAGCAGAGCCTCAGGAAGTCTCTCCTCTAACAGGCCACATTAAAGGGGCCACCAGGTATTTAAAAGCCAGGAAGGAAGTCTTGAAATTGAAGGAGGCAAGGTCACATCCCATCTGTACAATTTCTCAAGGCTCAAGATTTTAGGCCAGGCACAGTGACTCTTGCCTATAATCCAACACTTTGTAATCCCAGCTACTCAGGAGGCTGAAGCAGAAGAATCACTTGAACACAGAAGGTGGAGGTTGTAGTGAGCCAAGATTGTACCACTGTGCTCCAGCCTGGGCGACAGATTGAGATTCCCCCCCAAAAAAGAAAAAAGAGGCTGGTACATAGTAAAGGCACTATAAATGTTAGCTATTGTTAAGTGCTCTGTTACTCATACTTGGGGGACCTGCTTCAACTCTGTAGTGATAAGATGGGAAGGCCCCAGGAACCAGGTTTGCTTCTCGTTTTCTTTTCTATTTTTGTTTTTTGTTTTGAGACACAGTCTCGCTCTATTGCCCGGGCTGGAGTGCAGTGGCACTATCTCTGCTCACTGCAACCTCTGCCTCCCAGGTTCAAGCGATCCTCCTGCCTCAGCCCCCCTAGTAGCTGGGATTACAGCCACATGCCACCATGCCTGGCTAATTTTCGTATTTTTAGTAAAGACAGGATTTTGTCATATTGGCCAGGCTGGTCTCGAACTCCTGACCTCAGGTGATCCACCCGCCTCCGTCTCCCGAAGTGCTGGGATCACAGGCGTGAACCACCGTGCCTGGCCCCTACTGCTTCTCATTTTCTTTGTGAGATGCTAAAAGAGTAAGAAGAGACCCTGAAGCTGTCTCCTTCCAACCTGACACCTATCCTTCTCTTTGTTCAGGCCGCAGGCATGGTTTTGGTCAACTGATGTTTGCAGATGGTGGCACCTACCTGGGTCATTTTGAGAATGGGCTCTTTAATGGCTTTGGGGTATTGACCTTCTCAGATGGTTCAAGGTAGGTATGAGGTCATTTCTTTCTTCACCTTGAATAAGGGAGGCTCTGACATAAAAATGGGACACTGGTAAATATCTTGTCAATCCTGAGCTTGTCCCACTCCCTGCAGTATACAGATGAGAAATAAGTAGTTCTCTTATTGGTTATTTTTTAAGTAGACCTAAAATTTGAAATGTCAACCAAGTGAGTGACTTTCCACCCCGCTCCCATTCATGTCCTATCTTCTTTCCTTGAGATCAGGGCTTCGTGTCATACATACTCTCTGATCCTTCTCTGCTGGTTGGGAGTAGGTGGGGTAGGTAGAGCTATGTGACAGGTGGAATCGGCTTGCTCCTTGGCATTATTAAATAGCAGAGATCAGCAGCTGCTCGACTCCATTCATCTGGACAGCTCACTTCCCACTGAAGGCTAACTTCTTGGTGTTTCTGCAGGTATGAGGGGGAGTTTGCCCAGGGCAAGTTTAATGGCGTCGGAGTCTTCATTCGACATGACAACATGACCTTTGAGGGGGAATTTAAAAATGGCAGAGTAGATGGTTTTGGTAAGTTGCAGCCCAGCAAGATGGGTGACTTAGGTGGGCATAATGCAGGTGGAAATATGCCTGTTTAGTTTTAATTCTGTGGGTGTCCAGCAATCCATAGTGTCCATGCCCTGACCCCTATCCGTTGAACTCACCAATAGAGTACTCCTGAGTTGAGCAGGGAGTTTTTCTCCTTCTTCAGCCTCGACATATCAAGCTGATCTTTGAGACATGAATGCCATTGTCACTCCCATATTTTCTATGCCCTCCTCAAAGGCCTGCTGACTTTCCCTGATGGTTCTCATGGAATCCCCCGCAATGAAGGTCTCTTTGAGAACAACAAGCTGCTGCGGCGTGAGAAGTGTTCCGCAGTCATTCAGCGGGCCCAGAGCGCCTCCAAGTCAGCCAGAAATCTCACCGCCTGACAGCGCCATGGGTCTCAGCTGACAAGTATTGGGAAAAGCCAGTGCCCCCGTTGTTGACTCGAGGTGAGCGAATGAACCAGAGCTGAGATAAGTTGACAATGACAGTGGAGCAAGGGACTTATATGTGCCCTGTCACCTGCCAATCCAGAACTGGACCACAGAAAAGTGCTGAGGATGCTGGCCAGCAGAGCCTGCAGCAGTCGTTGGCGGTGCTGTCTTTCCCTGACCCTTGTGTGCTGGAAGACAGAGGAACTGCCTCTTCTCACTGGTTAATACTCTGTTCCTAAGACCTCAGGTTACCCAATGCAGCCTGCTGTGACCCTTCTGCTTCATTTTCTGCCAAGTGATACAGAATCTCTTTGTTCTGCTGCTTTTGGGGCAGGTGATCCTAGCCCTAGCTTAGGGCCAGTGCTCTGTGCTACCCTGGAGAAATAGGAAAAAGATAGGGGTGGCTCAGTACAGCAGCCCTGTGAAAGTCAAGGCCAGACCTTTTCTTTTTGTTATTATAAAAAATTGAGCTAGGGTCTTGCTATGCTGCTCAAGCTCATCTCCAACTCCTGGGCTCAAGTGATCCTCCTGCCTGCCTGGGACTGCCAAAGTGCTGGAATTGCAGGCATGAGCCACCAAGCAGAGCTTTTCTGTATGCTACTCCTTATGCTGGTTGGAATCATGGCTCCAGGCTTCCACTTTGTCTGATCGGACTGATAGTCATTTCTGCCTATGCCCCTGTGAAGGATTCGGTAAGAGTGCTATTTCCTTCTTCCTTTAGAAGACAGGCTGTCTTCCTTCACCAAGTTACAGCAGATAATCCCTATGTGTGCCTCTCTCCTTCCTTAGATGGGGAACAGTACACCTTTTTGGGACAGTCAAGAAAGAAACTCATGTAAACAATAATCTTATTACTTGTATTTGTGACTAACTCCAGGGAAAAGGATAGAATATTTAGGCCGCTTCAGGCCCTACCACGGAGTGAACTGAATTTGTAGGGAGCGCTTGGGCTGACACAGTTTCTTCCAGTGGACCGATAAATCAGACTCACCTGAACCCCTGGGATTTTGGTAGAATTTGGACCTACTCTAGGACTGTGGGGAACTAAAGGAGCATTTGGCTCACTGTAGCTCTTCTATCATGAGCCTTGACCATCAGGTGGCAATCAGACCTTACTGATGGGATCTCTGCAGAGTTTATCATGGAGGCCCCCCCCTTACCCCTGTACACAAATACGTCCCCCACCTCTAGCCCCCTAGCCTCACACTGAATGTCTCCTCAACAGCAGATTGTGGTGGAAGTTATAGCCGTGTGCCTCTATTTATTCTCTGAGTTGTACTGTAGAAACAGGTGTTTATAAAGAATAAAGAAATCACCAGAACTGCCTATACCTAGTTTTCCTGACTTTCTGGCCCTGCGTCTTCATGAATATCAATCCATCTGCCGCTTGCAAAAGTTAATCAGATTAGGCCTTGGGACTGACCCTGCACATTTCACTATATCAAATCATTTAATTTTCTCAGCCTCTACAGAGGAGAGGTATGGACTTTTTTTTTTTTCTTTTTAAATCAGACAGTCTCAGGCTGCCCCAACTAGTAAGTGGCACAGCTGGGTGGGATTTGTATCCAAGTCTTTCTCATTCCAACTCCCTTTCTACTGGCCCCCTCTCACCGTGAGCATCAGAGTGCCCAAGACTTGAGACCAGTTATGGCCACACCTGCTGGGTTACCTCTGGCAGGTCCACTCCTGCGGAGTTTCCCTTTCTCTGTGATGAGTAGAGAGTGGTGGAACATCGACCCCCACGCTCACCCTTTTACATGCATGTCCTTATTGGAGGAAGGTACTATTATCATCCCTGTATAACAGATGAGGCTCAGGAAGTTAAGCAGTTTCTCCAAGGTCCCATAGACACTAAGGGGCAGATCCCAGAACTTAAAGCCTGACCTGTTTCAGCCCAGAGGCTGAGCATTTTTTTTTTTTTTTTTTTTTTGACAGAGTTTTGCTCTGTCACCAGGTGCCAGGCTGGAGTGCAGCGGCGCAATCTCGGCTCACTGCAGTCTCCGCCTCCTGGGTTCCAGCAATTCTCCTGCCTCAGCCTCCTGAGTAGCTGGGCCTACAGGTGCACGAGGCTGAGCTTTTAACCAGTACACTACCCTGCCTGCCTAGCCCTAACTTTTCTCCCAGTCCTAAACTGGATTCTTCTCTGAGCCCAGCTCCTCTAGAAGTTGCCTGTGAGAAGACCCCAGGAGCTAAGTCCCAAGCTTTAGTGCCATTCAGAGCCTGGTTTTGGGTTGAAGATTGAGATCTTTAATTTTCTTTCCTCTAGCCTCTGCCCTCCCCACTAAATAATTATCTATTTACCTCTCCTTTTTAACCTTACACTTTCTTTTTAATGAGTAATTTTTTTTTTTTTTTTTTGAGACAGAGTTTCACTCGTTACCCAGGCTGGAGTGCAATGGCACAATCTCGGCTCACCGCAACCTCCGCCTCCTGGGTTCAGGCAATTCTCCTGCCTCAGCCTCCTGAGTAGCTGGGATTACAGGCACGTGCCACCATGCCCAGCTAATTTTTTGTAATTTTAGTAGAGACGGGGTTTCACCATGTTGACCAGGATGGTCTCGATCTCTTGACCTCGTGATCTACCCGCCTCTGCTTCCCAAAGTGCTGGGATTACAGGCGTGAGCCACTGCGCCCAGCCTTAATGAGTAATTTTTAAAAAACGTATCTCCATCTTTCTGCCACTAGTCAAATATTACCACTGAAAAAGGTTAAATATTTTGGAGAAAGCATCTTTTTTTTTTTTTTTTTCGAGATGGAGTTTCACTCTTGTGGCCCAGGCTGGAGTGCAGTGACACGATCTTGGCTCACTGCAACCTCTGCCTCCCGGGTTCAAGCAATTCTCCTGCCTCCCGAGTAGCTGGGATTACAAGCTTGCACTACCATGCCCGGCTAATTTTTGTATTTTTTAGTAGAGATGTTCACCATGTTGGTCATGCTGGTCTCCAATTCTTGACCTTGGGTGATCCTCCTGCCTCAGCCTCCCAAAGTGTTGGGATTACGGGCATGAGCCACTGCACGGGGCCCTAAACACTTAGCACTTTAATCAAAAAGGAAGCTGGCTGGGTGTGGTGGTTTACACCTATAATCCCAGCACTTTGGGAGGCCAAGGCAGGAGGATCACCTGAGATCAGGAGTTCGAGACCATCCTGATCAACATGGCGAAACCCCATCTCTACTAAAAATACAAAAATTGCCTGGGCGTGGTGGTACCTGCCTATAATCCCAGCAACTTGGGAGGCTGAGGCAGGAGGCACAAGAATCACTTGAACCTGGAAGGTGGAGGTTGCAGTGAGCCAAGATTGTGCCACTGCACTCCAGCCTGAGCGACACAGCAAGACCCTGTCTCAAAAAAATAAAAGTACTAAGTGTTTCTAAATAGCTCAGTTGCTCTCTTTTACCTCTTATCCCTCTCTTAGACCTCCAGTAAGTGAATGCCTGTTGGCTCAGTATTGTTGGGGCGGCTCTTAGAGCTGGGAGAAGTCAGACCATCAGAGCTCAGTTGCCTCTGGGAAGGTTCTTGACATCTGCCCAGGAAACCTAAGATCTGCATAGCAATGGAGTGTCCATCTTTACATAGCCACACTAATTTTACCTGTTAAATTTTATTATAGTAACAAAGTGATTATTTTTAATAACGAAAGCAGAGTACCCGGAGGCAAGAGGATGGCCCTGTCTCAGGCCAAGTCCCCTTACTGTTTCAGATTTAGGCTGGCCAGAATAGTCTTCTAGAATGTAACATTTATCCACCAGGTGTCATTATTTACCAATCTGACAAGCCACTGGGCTGTCTCCACGCATGCAATGGTTGGAATCAAGGCTAGAGACCAAAATAGGAAATGAATGAAAATAGATTTAGAAAAAAGGGCATTGTGGCTGGCATGCATCTTGCAGTGTGGAGTGAAGGGCTGGGGTGGAGGGGGGGTGGTAAAGAGTCCTTTCAAAGACCAGTGGCACTTTCCTGATCAAGTTTCCTAAGCTGATGCTTCCCTGGAAGGAGTCAGAACTTAGGTTTGTAAGAGTAGCCCTGGCTTCCAGCTGCACTACGCTAGACTCAGGTTTGAAGCCTCAAGTCTAACTAGTCCCCACTTTGATAAAAGAAATTCCCAGCCGTGCACAGTGGCTCACACCTGTAATCCCAGCACTTTGAGGGGCTGAGGTGGGTGGATCATCTGAGGTCAGGAGTTTGAGACCAGCCTGGCCAACATGGGGAAACTCCATCTCTACTAAAAATACAAAAATTAGCTGGGCATGGTGGCGCATGCCTGTAATCCCTGCTACTCGGGAGGCTGAGGCAAAAGAATCACTTGAACCCAGGAGGCGGGGTTGCAGTGAGCCAAGATCGCCCTACTGCACTCCAACCTGGGTGACAGAGCAAAATTCTGTCTCAAAAAAAAAAAAATTCCCTTACTGTGCCTAAGTACCCCTCTGGCCTTCCTTTCTAACTTCCTGTGCCTCAGGGCATAGGAAAGCATCCACAGTAGAGGGACAAATTGAGAAATTGCTCTTTCTCAGTCTTCAGACCAGAGAGACAGTTTAGGATATAAAAGGGAGAGAGAAGTCAGGGGCCATGAGAATAAGAGGTGTGCATGAGCGTGCCTGTGAAAGGCTGGCTGGAAGACCCGAGTAGGCAAAGGATCCTCTACCCGCTCCCCACCACCCGCTCCCCTTATCCCCCACTGCGCTCTCCGATTCAGGCTGCAGGTGCAAGGCAGGAGGCTGAGATGGGCTCAGGCCAGCCATGGATGCTGCCTGCCCTCAGAGCCAGCCATTGCTGGTGAAATCCATGCGCAGTGCCTCCTCCTCAGCGGGGCTCAGCTCCTGCAAGGGGGCGCGGCAGGGGCCTCCGTAGTAGCCAAACCAGTCCATGGTTTTCTTCAGCCCTGGGATCCCGAAGCGCCGTGTCACCTGCAAAGCAGGGCCTGTTAGAAGACACTAAAGAATTCTCTGAACACAGAAAGTTGAAGTCCTACCCTCTTCCCCCAGGAAAGTAACTATCAAATCTATGGCACTGAGGGTAGATTGGGAATCCAGATTTAGACACCAGAGAGCAGGTCTATAATAGCAAAATGCAAAAACTTCAGATTGAGGAAGAAGAGTGTCTCCTTTGGTTTTGGGAGAAAAATCCACTGCAGCAGGGAGGAGAATGGCATTCAGTCCTTGAGCTGGGGTGGGAGAAGACAGCAAGGCTGTGGATATAGGCACTACAGCATCGCCACTCTGCAGCCCAGTTCCCTGAAACACTGAATGTCCTCCTAGGAAAAGCAAAGCCTCATTGCCCAAGGAAGTTTTGTTGTATAAACTGTGTCATTTACTTATTATCCCTGAGTAAGTTATCCTGTCTAAAAAAGGAAGGGGCTGGACAACATGATCTCTAAAGGTTTTTTCATGATAATGGGGGCACTAAAGCTATTGTTACAGTTTATTTTTATTTACTTATTTTTTTGAGACAGAGTCTCACTCTGTCACCCAGGCTGGAGTGCAGTGGCATGATCTTGGTTCATTGCAACCTCCCCTTCCCGGGTTCAAACGATTCTCCTGCTTCAGCCTCCTGAGTAGCTGAGACTACAGGCACTTGCCGCTGCACCAGGCTTTTATTTACTTATTTTTTTTGTATTTGTAGTAGAGACAGGGTTTCACCTGTTGTCCAGGCTGGCCTCAAATCCCAAATCCCTGACCTCAAGTGATCCACCCACCTCGGCCTCCCAGCATGCTGGGATTACAGGCATGAGCCACCGAGCCCTGAATAATTTATTTATTTAAATTTTATTTTTATTTTTTTTGAGATAGAGTCTCACGCTGCCGCTTAGGCTAGTGTGCAGCGGTATGATCATGGCTCACTGCAGCCTAGACCTCCCAGGCTCAATTGATTCTCCCACCTCGGCCTCCAGGGCACTTAGGACTACAGGTGCGTGCCACCATGCCTGGCTAATTTTTGCATTTTTTGTAGAAATGAGGTCTCACTATGTTGCCCAGGCTAGTCACGAACTCCTGAGCTCAAGTGATCTGCCCACCTCAGCTTCCCAAAGTGCTGGGATTAACGGGTGTGAGCCATGGCGCCCGGCTATTATAATTTAAAATCATACATGGAATTTTACAGAATAAATGAAGCATCAAATTTCCTTGCTTTTGGTATAGCAACTGGTTATTTCATGCTGATCAGAAGTATTAGATGAATCTTTCACTACCTGAAAACTAGGAAAGTAATCCTTAAGAAAGGTTTATTTGGAGGGAAGCTAAAACCCTAGGAGGGTAAAAATAAGAGGTTGTTTGGGATGAAAAGGCCAGGAGCCATTGATGAAAGATTGACTAATAACTGTTGACCGCTA